TGGCCAATGACGGACACATTATCATCAACGATAGTCTACAGCGATTTAGGCTTACCGGATGTCGAAAAGGTAGTGGTCGACCGCGATGTAAAGACGCTTTTACAGCACTACGGAAACGTCATTTAATGGTTTTGTAGATAATCAACTCTATAGTGTAAGGGTCAGATCAAAAACAGTCAAAAGAAGATTTCGTGATAATAGACTAATCTCTAGATATCCATCTACTACTGGAGAGGCATCGAGAAGAAGAAAAAAACCTATTCCCAAATCATCGTCTAGCTTGTTCACTTGAACAAGGGTAGCTGTTCCCTTCACAAATGAGTGCTGGTTTGGTTTGTGACTATTAGACTGGGCCGAGTGTGTAGATGACGTGGAGACGCTTTGCTTCATGCCCCATTCGTGGGCCATAGCCTTTTCAAAGACAGTCAGTTATGGTATGGGGAGAAATTAAAGTTACGTGTCCATATACTAAGGTGCATTGGGGAAGTTCTTCTGGAAGTTGATGTCCCATTTGCTCCATTTATTGGGGACAACTTCAGGTTAATGCATGATTATATTTGACCGCATGTAGCTAGAGTTGGTGGATGGAGATTACCACAATGAATCGGTCAACACGTTCTCCTGACCCGAATCCTATAGTGCATGATAGAGCCATGGGCTAGACTCCAACTTACTTTTCACTTGATGTCTAGAAGACTTCGTTGGTCTTTGGTCGTTGGAGGTAATACGAGTTATCAAAAGCAAAACTAGTAATAGATTTTTAGTTAAATTTTAATCTACCAGTAAATGATTTTGTTGTGTTTGGTGGACTTTCTTTCAAACAATCATAATTAAATAATTTTTATTGAAATTCATAAATTTTGCAACATGTTTAATTTCGTTTAAATTAAAAAAAGTATGTTTCATTATACGTATCAAATAATATATAGTTATTATAAAGTTAGTATTATACTCTTATAAAAATACATATCATATTTCAAAATAAACAAAAATATAGGAGTGTCTAGTTTTTTGTGTCTTTGAATGTATAAAAGCACACTCTAAATTATTGAATACGTTCAGGAATAATTAAAGTTCACTCTACCATCGATACATGGGTTCGAAGTTCAATCTATTTAAGGTCAGAACCTTTGTGTTTACTCACGATATTTATTTATTTTTTTGGATATGTAAACTATGTTATTCATCTCGAGCCCTCTATTTCTGTACTTCCTTTTCCGTCTTTCTTGCGTTTTAATCCGACTGATTTCCTTTCTTGGTATGACAATAACCGGCTCTCTCTTTTCTTTATCCTATTGTCACCATCTGTTTACCTGTCAATTGTGGGTACAATATCAAACAAAAATACACATAAAACAGAAACAAGATAAAGCGTGATACTATTCCCACTACTTTAGAAGTACTCGATATTGTGAGTAATTGGGAACAAGACTTCCTCCATTCGCTCTAATAAACGCATTCACACATCAGATATCTCGGATATTCCTTAGGATAATTAGCTCCTCCATTCGCGCTAAAAAATTACATTCACACACTAGAAATCTTTCTCACTAACACCGAATGCTCGATGTTCCTCGGGGTAGTTGGGGATAAGCTCCTCCATTCCTGCTAATAAATTATATTAAAACACCAAGCATCGTTCACGCTACCTCAGTGTACGTGATATACCTCGGGGTAATTAAAGATGCTCCTCTCCATTCGCGCCAATGAATTATATTCACATTACTCCAGATTACTTGATTTTCCTCAAGGTTTGTGGGAAGTAGTCTTACTATTCAAAATGACCTCCACACACCATAATTCTTTCGCACTGTCCCAGCGTATTCGATATTCCATCAGGTTATTGGTGATAACCCCTCTATTCGTGCTAATAAATTATTTTCTAACACCAGACTTCATTCACGCGTACTTCATATACCTCGGGTTGGGAATGATCCCCTCCATTCGCGCTAATAAATTATATAATTATTTATAATAAATTATATAAATTATCCACTGCACCCAGATTACTTGATATTACTCAAGGTTTGTGGAAAAAAGTCTCACCATTCACGCTAATAAATTACCTCCACGCACCTCGGGGTAATTGGATATTACTAACGGTTTTATTGTTTGTCTATTGACCTATATCAGATCAAATGGTTACAAAAATAGGCCAATGCATGTACATAATTATCATTAATAAATATATTTAACCATCATTATTAACAAAAATGTTTTTGTTTTGTTACTATAAATTAAATCAGCACCGAACTTAAAATCATGTAATTTTTTTCTCAGTTTAGGAATTTCATTACTTTTTCTTTCGTAAACTTTCTTTTTAAGCAAATACTTGAACCAAATAAGTTTCCTGATTAAAAGCCGGATAAGTTTTACGCGAACTTGGCCAATCATCATATCATCGATTTTATGCTTTGCCACTTGAATAATTGTTATCTGTCACTGTACAAAGAAAAAATGTTCAAGGGAAAATAGTTAAAACGGAATAAATTACAGAGAGTTCCAAGTCATGAATATTGACGTTACTTAACCAGGCGGAATTCGGTTTAAAACGGCTATGATCCGAATAAAAGTCAGATCATGAATAAAATCTTCCGATCTTTCCTCCGTTAAATAAACAATGTCCTCCCCTGCCTCCCCACCAGTACGGCCTTTTATTGAGATGCCGTGAAAAGGTTCAAGGCTGAAATAAATATATTATGACGTCGTCGGCACGTATTGCATCGATGGTTTCAGTCATCGCGTTACCATCCTGGGGACAACATCTTGACTCAGTTCAGTGACGATCCGCGGATGTAAATCCAAAGACACTTCAAATATGGTCACTTCTGACAAACACCCGGCCTATTCTTCTTATTCACCAACAGCAATCCGAAACACATCACCCTCCTAATACCGGTACGGTGAGGCCAACGTGCTCAGAGACATCTTTACTGATAAAAATCAATATTCGGTAAGTAGTGTTTTAGTTAAAAATTTATGCGTTTCATTCATAAAATAAGTATTTTATTTTTTAAAAATCTCTTTTGGGTAAAGAAAGGCAGAACATTTTACCGATAAGAAATGATAAAGAACTTCATTTCCCGTTACCGATACTGATCAATAGTAGATAGAGCAAACAAAATATTCCGCACTTATATATAAAAAAAAGAAAAAAAATCGATTGCATATGAGGTCAGGAAATTCCGTTTAGAAATACAAACATGTGAAATATTATAAATATGACTGTCTAAAATAATGATAATATTTGGTCGTTTTACGGGACAACTTAAAAAGAATGAGTTTAAAGGTTTTTGTTTTATTTTTTAACAAGGGTTAGCAACATCAGAGCTCGTATCAACCCTCGCGTTGCTGTGTGTTTGAAAACAAAAAACTTATTTGTAAATATGCCAGTGGATTCGAACCAGGGACCCTTTCCTTGCAGTGAGCGCCGTGTCAACGCCTTAACCGTTGCGGCCACTGACCCCTCTGAGTTGAAAAGTGTAATCGTTTGTATTAACCAGGAAATAATTTAACGTTGGAGACATGTTTTTATGAACGTTTATTAAATATTCAATATTTTGTTATTCATAAAAAATAATATTTTTTTGAATTGGGTTTGAAATATAGCGGTAAAAATATTCCTTCGTTAATAAAGTTGAATCTCTACGTGAAATATCCTGTTTCAGATATTAGAAATATCTTTAAAATAATATTAATGTGAAAATAATGCTTACTCAACTATTATTCTATTTAACGTTACGATAAAGTACATTTTATGTCATCTACAGGCAATTAAAGTTTAATCTAATATTTTTTTACAATGAGTATTTATAAATTTAAACATATTTAAGGAAAAATATTTAATAATGACAATAGCGTTACATGAGTGCCAACTAGAAGATTAGGACTAATTAATTAGTTGTCCCGTTAATTAATCGTTAATTAGGTCTAATGTTCTAGTTGCTACTAACACTATTGCCAGTATTAAATATTACTCTTTAAACATCACGTATAAATTTATAAAATTTAATGTAAAAAAAAATAGACTAGCGTTGAGTCATTAAAAGTACTTTATTATTTAAACATAGGCCCTGATGATGACGTAATATTCGTTGAATGTTTGGTAAGACAATAGTATAGACATCAGTTGACCTCCTTCCGATTCTGTTCAACTTAATTATTAATTGTAGGTTGGTCTAAACATTATCAACAATGATTTTCAACTTAATCGACTTTTTTAAATTAATTAAGTTGAATGGTAAGTTTTAAAAAGACATTCAATATTATTGAACGTAACCCTGTATGCTCAGTGTAAATATTCTATAGTTAGACAATATTACAAAAGCCAAATTTGAGATATTTACAGACCACTTGCAATGAGTACAATTTAAAATTCCAAATTACACTTTAACAAAAAGGTTTTATTAAAAAAAAAAAGTTTAAACTTCTCGATTCATTTGTTCTTGTAGTACTTTTGATGAATGTTGTAATTAACTTTTTCCAATAATATTTAATAACTTGGTTTATTTACTAAAGTTGAATTTATAAAAATCATGTTGACACAATTACGAACAACATTTCAATCAAACTTTTCTTTATTACTGCTAAAAAGTAAGGTACAGTTTTAAATTCACCAAACATAAATAAAAATGTCTCTTTTTTAAGAGGTAAAGTACTTCATGAAAAGGTGAAGTTTGAATACTTGTAAAAACCTGGCAAATTTAAACTCCCAAAATTCGGTATTTCCATCCACTTATATATTAAATTTTATAGAACTTTGAATTTTCTTATGATACAGTCAAACGTCAACCTACTATAATTTTATATGAGGAAATAGTCAATTTAAAATTTAAAAAATATGTTTAAAACGTGACGCTTCCAAATGTAGAAGTAGTTATTTCAAACAAGCAGAGATAATTTATGAAAAAAAACCCTGGAGGGAGTTAAACCATGATAATAGTCGTTTGTCCAACTCTTACAACCCTTGCACAGTGTACAGCGTGATATTTTGATTTCAGAACGTGATGGGTAGGTTTTGGGCCGCTTTCGAAGAGGAAGAGCACGTCTACGAAGAAATAGGACTTGTCTCCGAACCCTACACGTGGACCTGTTGGGCCGACATACCTTCAGTTATCGATTGTGGCATTTTAAGTGAGTAATTCAACCATTTAACACAGTAATGCAAATATTTTAAACTGATTTTTTTTAGAAATATTAAACAGTCAAGAAAAAGCACTTCTAGAATCGAAATTCGAAATAATAACGTCGGAGGTATCATATTTGAAATCGCTGACTGTCGCACTGACGCTATTTTATAACTCATCAGAATTGGCGGAAAGTCTGTCTGAGACTGAAATGAAAACGTTATTCGCCAATCTTTCCGAAGGTTTGTAAATTGTCCAATTATCAATCAGACTAATTATTTTTTACACATTATTGTTAACATCAATTTATCACATAAATAACACCATATATGTATATTATATAAAACCTAACAATTACTTATTATTTTCTTCTGTAAGCGACTTTATGATTTAACTTTACAATTTACTGTATACAGAAATTCATTATTCTTTCTTCGTGTTGGTATTAGTTTATCTATAGACTAGAATAGAATAAAATATGATTTTAATTATATCTCGTTAGGAATCATTAAAATCTTGTTTTATCCATATTTTTTATTTTGTATTTTGAGGTTCATTATTAGTTTTTAGACAATACATAATAAAATTTGAAAACAGATGAAGAAGAAATTAAATGTAGCAAATTACAAATTCATCGTTAAGAAAACAGATTATAAATAAGTATATAGATTTTCTTTTCTCAGGTACTTATAAAGACGCGCAAAACTTAAGTTTTATAATGTTTATTTAAGATGTTAAAAAACTTAGCTTATGACCAAGAAATAAAATTCAAGTTATTAACACCCGTCTATACTTGTACAATTTGGAGAGGTCTTCACTACTAAAAATATTAAAACATTTTCCTACTTGCAATTTGACCTCCGGAAAATATCTCACTCTTATTCTTTTAATATGAAGCATTTTGCTATGAATTGATATATAACTTCCTTTTTATTCATATTTCACATCAAACGTTTTTGCCTATCATCTGATCTACCATATAGGAAGTTTTGTGCGAGTAGATCTCCTCTAACTCTCATAATAAGACTTATGGAATACAACTTACTATTTACATCTGTTTAATCGTGAAATGTAAATATTAATTCTTCTTAGCCCTGATCAACTCATTAAATATCTTATTCTTAAATTTCTGCATTAATGAAATTATTTGAAAAAAAATCATAATAATGAGAAAACAAAGAATCTTCACAAACCTGTCTTAGTTCCACGAGGGTGCGTCTCTTAATTATATATGTAAATATTGGTCGTTGTTATCTGGATACCAGGACACAAATGTCTGGAGGGTAACGAGAAGGTGGACGAGGTGGTTTAGGACCTATGTAGCTAAAACTGCGATAAAGAACACGATTAACCGAATGTGGCAGCGTCGGTGGAATGGAATCTCTCACATATAAAAGCACTGCCCTTAGCGGATCTGGCGCGGAGAAGAAGGTTGCCTAACGTATCGTGCCAACGTTTCGATCTTTATTGAAATCATCTTCAGGGCACAAAGTGTTTGTTTTATGTGTAGATGTGTCATTATTGGGTGTTGTGTTGAGAGTGCCATCCTCGATTACGGAGAGACCGTGCAAAGTTTATATACTTTGTACTTACTTTTGGGTCAAAGCCCGATATTGGCACCATATGTCGAGCCACATATGCCACTCATTGTGATAATTTTTCTTGACCAAGGCAGCGATCATTTGAGTCCCCTGATACGATTATTGGAGGAAACAAGGTTTATTATACTATATAAATGATTATTTGGAGATCGATGCGTTCTGGTGTGATGTAGGTTTTAGAAAAACATTTTTTTATCGTGCCAACGTTTCGATCTTTATTGAGACCATCTTCAGGGCCCAAAGTGTTTGTTTTATGTGTAGATGTGTCATTATTGGGTGTTGTGTTGAGAGTGCTAATACGACACCCAATAATGACACATCTACACAGAAAACAAACACTTTGAGGACTGAAGATGATCTCAATTAGGATCGAAACGTTGGCACGATAAAAAAATGTTTTTCTAAAACCTACGGCACACCAGAACGCATCTCACGATCTCCAAATAATCATTGACTAACGGTCACTGAATACCACACACTGTATAATGTACTGATAGTGTTCGTACCCCAGTCAAAGAAAGTCAATTTCTTTTTATTAGCGTGAATGTGTCGTGTGAAAGGGTCGTTGGTGGAATATTGAGACAATAACTCCCAATTTGAATGATTATTTACATTATAGATAAAAAGGATGTTGGATGAATTTCGAATCACAACCCTAGCTAAATGATTGGTATGCTAGTAAGAAGTGTGCATTAAGAATGAGTAAATGGGTTTGGATTTATAGACTGATTACGTCTGGGGATGAAATGACCTAGCTGTTGATAGCTCCTGGAGGGTGAACGGATAAGGCTGAAGTCTGCCCCACACTGCCACTGCTGGGTGGTTCTCGAGAAGTGATACCTCTCTACTCGCGTGTTTGACAAATATACTTTTTAAAAGTTTAAATTTTTATTCACAATGGCAATGTATGTTCTACATTAGCTAAGCCAGAGTTTAGAAACACAATTCAGAAATTCTATTGGTGCGAAAATTCCAGTGGCGATGATGGGAATCGAACCCGAATGACGCGGTTCCCGATTAACTCTTAAGCCTAGTACACATGTGTACTCTTTGTTGCTCGTCACTGTTGTGGTTCTGATCAAAACTGTCCCCTTGCCTTGCAATAAAGTTGGGCTGTCCCGATGCAAAGTTCCTTATTCAAATCGAAGTACAGTTTGAAAATGGTAAAACTGCTTGTGTTGATGGTGATGTTTCGAATTCGCACAATCGGAAGACGTAAATTGTGTTGGGCGCGCTATCTTCAGAACAATCGACCAAGCAAGACATCCCGCCGAAATGAGTATGTGAGCTTTTTGTTCTACATCAGTCAGTGAAACTTTTCAACTAACTGAACAAAGCAGCTCGCTGCCTGTTCTTGTAGTCACTTGAACAAACGTCCCAGAAGAAATGAATCGATGAGGTCTTCGATCAATTTTAAAGTCAACTTAGCGAATCACCTAATGATGGAAAATCAAATGTTAACATCACTACTAATTGAAGAAAAATTTTGTTGTTGCTCTCAACTCAGATGTCTAAGAACCGAGGCGGGACTGTTTCACACATAAACTGCAATATTGCTCAACCACAGAATCTCATTTCAGATGAAACTCAATGATATGATATTTGACAACTGCAATAAACGTCTCCTTCAATATTGCGGGGCTGTTCGGGCACACAGGGGCTAACCCGATACATCTAGCAGATCCAGAAAATTGAAAATCAACAAAGAGTCGTTACGGGCAGAGAAGCTCCCAGGTAACCAGAAATATTCGTGCGGGTTTACAGTTGCTATTGTTTTAATATCAATAATCAACATTTCTTTATCCATAGGAGGATTAGGTATTTACATCAATAATACGAGAGGTTTATGCGACAGTTCATAAAAAGAAGTGTCTTGTACAAACTCTTTAAAAATTACAAAATATTTTCTTTATCGTGTCTTCAAAAGCTGGAATTCGTACATGCATACGGTATGGATTTTAGCCAAGTACTATGGCGACCAAGGCAGCTCTTAAAATTTGAAACGAAGTGGCAATGAAACAATAAATAAGCGCACTGCCCAAAAGTGGATCAAAAAGTTTGCTTCCGGGATTGTGGAAATCGAAGATGAACCACGGTCTGTAAACTTTGTTTTTAATCACGACGAATTGAGGAAAGTTAAACATGATTCGCGTCAAAATGTCAGGTGCCATTTTTTTGCCAAGTTTGCCAGTGTTCAACGTTAACTATGAAACCATTCACTGTTGCTTACCTCGAAACTTGGGAAGACACGAAAGCTGCTCAAAAAAGTTCCTCGTAAGGTCAATTTATGACTGGTAACAGGATGTATGCACTGAACATTTGCCTTTCTATGCTTTGACGACACATAGAAGAGACATTTTTGACCGGATTGTTAAATGCGATCTTGTACAATGACATAAGGAGGTTCTACCATATACCCTGCCCCATTGAGGAAAAAACAGAATATTCACCAACAAAAGGTGATGCTTTGAGCTTGGTGGACTACTTTTTAAAACTTTTTGCAGTTTGAAAACAGATCTGAGAAACGACTAAATGATTCGCCCGCACATCACCTTCCTTATATTGGGTTGTCCGGAAAATAATGCAGGATTTTGGTATTAAACAAAAAAAAAGAAACTAGTTACTTTAAAGCAATGTTCTTTAATCAAAATAATNAATGAGTAATCCTGTAAACGTAAACAGAATATTTTATATAGATTTTTTTTAATGAAAACTTAAAATCCTGCATTATTTTCCGGACAACCCAATATTACATACCATTCTTTACCGCTTACATATCGTTTACATAACCTGTTTCTTCTTCTTTCCACCAACTCTTTTTTCTGGGGTTACACATCTTTCCAAAAGAACAAAAATCCTAGATCATCATTAATATAAATAAAACGTCAAAAACTTGACAAATGTTTTTTTAAAATCATTGTATTGATATTGGAAAATAGATAGAAAAACAAGTGTAATTGAAAAAAAAATTTCTCATATTAAACTCAAATTATATAACATTATTTTGTTTTGTTTAAGTTAATTATTATCATAAGTTTATATATTCACTGTGTATTATTTTACAGTTTACTAGCTTTGGCCACGGATCCAATTTCATGAGAATTTTTTCAAAACTTGATTTACTGTCTGATTTTATCGTATTTTTTAAGGAATAATAACGTGTGTGGTGATTAGTGACCGTTAATCGATATTTATTTAGAAATCGTGAGATGCGGTCTGGTGTGATGTAGGTTTCAGAAAAACATTTTCTTTATCGTGCCAACGCTTCGATCCTTATTGAGCCCTGAAGATGATCTCAATAAGGATCGAAGCGTTGGCACGATAAAGAAAATGTTTTTCTGAAACCTACATCACACCAGATCGCACCTCACGATTTCTAAATAAATAGCAATAATAACCTTTAGGTTTAGTCGAATATCTAAAATAAAATTTCAAATTCAAAATATTTTTAATGACTTTGATTTTAAATTTTTCTCACTTTGGTGTATTTTTAACTATTCAGCTGGAGGCTATTTAAAATTGTACACATTGAACAATTATTATTGTCAACTTTGACTTTGAATTTGTTTAACATGGCCTTTTCCACTTAGGTCCATCGTGAATTCGTCTGTAGTTGTACATCCAGAACCCATGGGACCTGTTATTGGCCTTAAAGGTGTTTACTTTCATCCTATACGTTGTTTTGTAGATTTAGTTTTAAGAATATCGTTTGAATTGCTTAAAATAATATGACAGTTAGGTTCTCAGGCGACTATTGCATTTATTGCATTGTGTTACTGAGATATTAAAATTATCCTCTTGAAATTATAATTTGCTAAATGTTCCGTCGTATTCGGGAAAGGTATTCAAAGATTTTCCGATAGGCTTTCCTTAATTCTTTTGTGATAAATTATTTGATTACTTAATTGTTACAATTAAAAAAAATTATTACTCTTAACAAAGCCGACACGCAATCAGATTCAGCTAAATATAAACCAGCTCTGCTCCAAGTTGAACTTTCTGTAAATCAATATTATAAAAACATTTATTAGGTTTTGTGGTCCGCTTGACCAAATAAATTATTTTCAATTAATTATTCTTTAATTAAGGTTTCGATTGAGTTAAAAAAGGAGGGAAAATTCAAAAGGATGAGGTTGAGATGGGAAGTTAGTGTCCGAGTGGATCGATGTCAGGATAGCCCAAGTAGTATTTAGTCAAAGGTCGTGGGTTCGAATCTCGCTTGTGACACTGATTTTTTTATCTCAACCAAAACCTTAATTAAAGATTAATTAATTATAAAAAGATTTGTGTATTTAGTGAACGTTAATTAGTGATTATTTAGAGATCGTGAGCTGTTGTCTGGGGTGACGTCGATTTAGAAAAACATTTTCTTTAACGTGTCAACGTTTCGATCTTTATCGAGATCATCTTCAGTGCTCAAAGTGTGTTTTGGGTAAATTTGCAACAGTGGTTGTGTTGAGAGTATTTCAAATCTAAATAAATAAAATTTAAATAATACCAGACCACATCTCACGATCTCTAAATAATCAAAATAAAAACAATTAGCTCGTTAGTACAATTGACTTAAAAATTATTACATATTACATCATTAAAATATTCTGCGAAGCGCTTTAAAGGAAAAGTATATTATCAATGGATACAATACAACACAGTCATAGCAGAAAATTAATTATCCAACCACTCTCATCGTCACTTATCGATTAGCAGCTTTATCTCAATACATAAAACGTCTTTCTAACAGTTCATCTATGTCAATACGGAGGGAGATTGTTAAAATACGCTGAATTCCTTAGATAACAAGTTACGAAACATTAACCTCGCCTTTTGAAAATGATATTATTGTCTACAGTAAAATTTATATAAATTTTTCCTTAATGAAACAGTTGGAAATAAATAATTTTAAATTGTATAAGCAAGAATAATTTAATCTTAATTCTGCGGTTCAAAAGGTTCACAAACTGGAATAATCATCTGTTTTACCTTGCATATATTTTCGTTTCATTGTTGGGTTTTTTGTGCGTAATATTATTAGTCAAATTATATTTTAAATAAATATGGTTATTAGTTTTTACGCTGGAGGTTTACTTTGCATTAATTTATTAAATTGTGGTAACTTTTTTGTGGATGCTGAAAAGAACATTTTCTACATATTTATTTAGAAATAGTGAGATGCGGTCTGGTGTGATGTAGGTTTCAGAAAAACATTTTCTTTATCGTGCCAATGTTTCGATCTTTATTGAGATCATCTTCAAGGCCTGGGATTTACAAACATTGTTTAAATGTAACAAATACATGTAGGATGTGGAAAAAAGTGAATTTATACGATGCAAAATATATTTTTTATATTCAATCAAAGTATTTCTACTCACTCAAAGTGTTAGACTTGTGTGTAGTTGTGTCATTCTTGCGTGTAGTGTTGTGAGTGCCAGTGAGATTTTGCTATTTTGTGTTTATATACGTAGGATTTTGAAGGGGTGGGGAAGGATGTCGGTATAGAAAAGACATTTTTGTATAAGGCGTCGGCTTCTTTGAGGTGAAAGGTATGGTTCGGCCAGGTTATCCTTTCAGAATTATATAGAAAGGGATAAATAGGAAAAGGAAAGCTAAATTGTTGAAAAATTAGACTATGTGAAAAATATTTGATGTGTGGAATGTAATGTGATGATATATGTATGTTATCTATATTGAATTTGATTAATGATATTGGCTTAGCTGCGACTGAGTTTACATGTATCTGTTCTGTAATTGATGCTGTGTTTATCTCTGTTGATATAAACCATTTCTAAGAAATTACATTTATATTTGTTTTGTTCTGTATGTAATATTTTTGGATTTTTGAAGTCGAAATTGTGTTGATGTTCAAAATGGTGGATTTTGCTTGGGTTTTTGCCATCATAGATATGTTGCTTTACTCTCTTGTCCAGATATTGGGATGTAAGACCGATGTAAGTTGCCGGACAGTTTAAACAGTTGATCTTGTAGATTACGTCAGATTTATTTGTTATTGGTGTGGGATCTTTAACTTTGGAAAAAAGTGTTTGAATTGTTTTATAATTTTTAAAAGCTATTTTGAAGTTATCGGACAAGAGAAATGTGTTTAATTAAACTGGTGGTCGTCACTTTCATGTAGCCCAAAGTTCCTAACCTTATTATTTATCCTTTCAACGTTCTTTTTCAAGGTTGTATACTGGTACCTTTCACTATATTCAGAGATGACCTTCACCTATATTGCATAACTGTTGTATTCGCAGATGACGTCGCTATCCTTTTTCCTACCCTGATCTGAACTTCCGCTCTTTCCAACAACATCTCCACAGCCTTGGAAAAGCAACGTCAACCTAAACCAATCTCACGATAAAGTTTTAACCCTAATTTAAAAAAAACATTCCATCAGTCTTCCTCAACAGTATTACTACCCTAGGCAAACCGCACTTGTCTAAGCTGTGAAACACATTTTAAAAACTTTACACTGCACTATCTGCATCTGTGACTATGGACTAAACCTCTACACGACAGCAAAGAACTCGACCTATATCATATTCAGTCCTATCCAAACCCCTTTGTTTAATATTAAAAGCCCTCTTCTAGGTCAAGAGCCATATAATTTACATCGACCTAGACAATCCCTAGATATGGCCAAAACCCGATACCTTAAACTATTTACAATTATCTCCTCGCCCAAATCTATTAATATTCTATCCCATCTTAGACTTCCGGTACGAACCACTGGACAAATAGGACAAATTCATGGTCATGCTACTCACGCCATGAAATCACATTCAGCAACCCCTTCGTAGCTAAGTGGTTAGCGACCTTGTGATCATTGACTCGGCCTTCGTAGATTTCATTCGTACTGACGCCTCTAGAATTTTCTATCTATCAATTCTATCTATACCACAAAACAATCATCATAATGTACTGAGGCTTGGTTAAAAAATATATTTTCTTCTCAAATTTTATATAATCCAACTTTTTGTAGTGATGTTTTTAAAAAATTATATGAACTAAAAATAGTTCCTTAATTGACTTGTAGTTTGATCGTTTACTATCAATTTGGTCTTCCTATTCTCATTAGTTTTATCTGTCAAACGTATTTTTGCTTTTCCTCACCGTCAGTTCTGGTGTCTAGTGTACTCTGACAGGCGGTGCGTGACATCAAGGATATAAGCAGGAAGGGGCAATCACACAGATCCACCATTGAAATTCGCCTGGCAGATCAACCTGACAAAAGTGGGCAAACCAAATCCGAAACGATCAGACTACAGCTGCAGAATCCCGCAGTTCTCTTGAAGAAGTCAAGTTACTCAGACATGAGGGGGTGTTAACCATGTTAACTCTGTTAGATCCTGTTAGATCGGGAAAAATGATGACATAGGCTTGTAAGAATCGGCTAGTTAACATTGCTCGATCTAACAGGCCAGGGCCAATGTTAGATGTTAGGACGAAAATGTAGTCACATTGCTATCCGTTAGGGCGTAACCAACATGGCAGCCATGAATTTCGCAGCTGTTTTTGTTTATACGTATTTTTATTATTAAATACGCATTAATTAAATCATACCAATACATTTCTTTTGTTAATTTCTGACGTGTACTTATACTCGCATTCACAATAGATACGTCCCCTATTCTATAAAGTTGGAGTCTGTTAGACGTTATGATGCAAGTTAGGTAGGTCGGCAAGATGAAGCGTGTCATTTGTTAATACTTTTCGAGGGAATAGGCATTTTGAATGAAAGAGTTGATTAATTTTCCTTTTTATTAACTTCTGGCATCTTACAATTTAACACAAAAGAAAACCAAAACAAACAACAACAGGCCTTCAAGGACTTTATTTTCAGTTTTACCATTCGCCACGCGCAGCATTGCGGAAAAATTAACATTTAACATACTAACAAAAGGGGGCGTTCAGGATCTTACTGGACATTTCTCTATTTGAGTTAACACGAGTTAACGTCTTACAAACATGGTGGATTCCTATGGTGGAAACGGTATGCAATTTCATTTGTTCTTTTTTGAACTTAAGAAATATTTTTATCCTATTTTATATGTTCAAGACGAATCTAATAGGAGAATTAAATTTGAACAATAGCTCAGAACAATTCACTCTTTATTGAGTTTTTACGTGAACTAGCTTGTAAAATTTAATTGTTATTAGTTTATTTAAAACTTTTCAATTTTAGTTATTTTCTGTTTGACCTACTTGTTTTGATTTTAATTTTCTCTTTTTGAAACAAAAGTTCGGGACTGCTCAGTCGCTTTGCTGTACGATTTGGCAGGGCATTTTAAAGAAGACATACTTCTCAGGGACATCTCCAACACGGTGAGGAACCAGGCGGCGGTCAACTTAACACCCTACATAACGTACTGTTCCGCCCAGCCCAAAGCGGCAGCCACCCTCTCGAGATTATTGTAAGTCCGACTTAATACTTCACGTCAGCTTTTTTAAACGGCTCGTCTCACCGAAACCGTTCCCCACAGGAAGACCAACGCCAAGTTCCGGACGGCCTGCAGAAAGGTTGAGTCGTACAAAGAAGCGCAGGGCTGCTCGTTGCAGTCCTTCCTGTCCCTGCCGTCCCAGAGGATCACAAGGCTTCCGGTGATGTTCCAAGCCGTCCTAACCAGGCTGTCGCCCGGGTCTAGAGAATACACAAACACAAAACTCGTCATTGCCGTACTGCAAAAGGTTGGTTTTCCCTTTCAATTCAGGCCATGTTTGAAGAAATGAATGCCCTAACAAAAATACCAATTTCTTTTTGTAGCTTGCTAGAGCCTGTAATGAAAGTGTAGAAAAATCAGATATAAAAGAGACCGATGAAATTAACGTAAAGGTAAGGATTTTTATAATTATAAACCATTATGAAAAATTGTCTATTTAATTTTATCCTTCCAGGTGACTGGTGTCAAGAAGAAACTAAGTCCTTTAAGACTCACTGGCTTTTTTTCCGTTTAGCCGGTAGTATTTTCCTGGGAACGACTGTGATATGTAAATATCGAATTTTGAACGATAAAATACGACTTTTTTCGGCCTAAGAAACTGTTGGACAATGTGATTTTGTACTGCGAAAGATTTTTTTATTGCTTTTATTGAATGTTTTATGAATTTGGCAGTTTTCTTTTCATGAAATAAATGGAGATTTGTATATTTTGTTTATTTCATCCTTTATCATCACATCCTTTAAAAAGGCGTTTCTCCTCTTCATTTCTCTTGAAAAGTTTCATTCTTCAGGTTAGAGTGGATGAGACGATAAAAAAATAAATTTAGAAATTCTTCAGATTTGCAAAATAATTTTATTTCACATGATGCTAATGAAAAAAATATAAAGTATCATTTTCTCGTAAGAATAATTAATAGAAAAATACAATTAAACTTAAATACTGGTAAAATTATGTGACATCTACAAGTTTTTTATCTTGGAAACTTTTGAAAACTGTGAAAAATCTCTTATTTGTTTCATCGCGCACGTACGTGCATGGAATGTGAGATACAACGCAATCATTCCCCCCGATAACAGGTGTTACAGGTGTGCAAGTGGAAATATATATGAAAGTCATAACCATCGCGCTAAGGTCGTCGAAAGAAAAAAATACAGACTCCCTAAGCGCGATTCAGCAACTCAGGAGAAAAGCATCCCAGTTTCATTAATCAGAAAAATACCTGGACAACTTAAAAGAATTGATGTGGGAAAAAGTATTCCTGGTATGTTGGTATAACCGGGAGGAAACAAGCAGATAAGAGTACGTCAGGCCCACTTCTACTTCAAAATTTCAAATACGATCCTATACATCCTGACATACCAAGGATTCTTTTACGCTGAAAGCAATGTTGCAGTTGGATTTTGAATTGGTCAAAAGTGACAAAGTTACGGTAAAAGTTTGAAAAACGCATTTCGTTTTCGTTTTTAATTCCAATAATTTGATTCTACACTGATAAGTATAATTATTCCGAAATCGTGAGATGCGGTCTGGTGTGATGTAGATTTCAGAGAAACATTTTCTTTATATCTTCAGGGCTCAAAGTGTTTGTCTTCTGTGCAATTGTGCCATTCTTGCGTTTCGTGTTGAAAGTGCCACAACACGACACGCAAGAATGACCCAATTACACAGAAGACAAACACTTTGAGCCCTGAAGATGATCTCAATAAAAATCAAACGTTGGCACGATAAAGCAAATGTTTCTCTGAAACCTACATCACACCAGACCGCATCTCACGATTTCGGAATAATTATCGATTAACGGTCTCTAACCATCACACAACACTGATAAGTATTAATTGCCTTTATTGTTTACAATCTGACATTGTTTGTCCAATTCATATTAGGATAGCAAATCTTATTCCTGGAAGTAAATATATTTTACAATACTACCTATTTGTTACATTAAGTATTCCCTTCAAAATGAACCGAAGAGCACATTTTTCCGATCAACAGCGATTTGACATGTACGACTGCTTTAATGATGTACTGGTATCGAGTTGCACTCGAGAAATTTCCTGGCTACTGCAGAGTAAACCACAAGACGTTTATTCGTATTGCTCGCACTATGAGGAGGTACGGATCAGTTGGTGCTTCATCAGCAAAAAACCGGCTGCGCAATTTCCACGGAGAGCTGAACATTTTATAGTATAAATGTGTGGTGAGTAGTGACCGTTAGTCGATAATTATTCAGAAATCGTGAGATGTGGTCTGGTGTGATGTAGGTTTCTGAAAAATATTCTCTTTATCGTGCCAACGTTTCGATCTTTATTGACATCATCTTCAGGGCCTGGGATTTAAAAACATTGTTTAAATTTAACAAATAAATGTAGGATGTGGAAAAAAGTGAATTTATACAATGTAAAATATATTTTTCATATTCAATCAAAGTATTTATACTCACTCAAAGTGTTAGTCTTCTGTGTAATTGTGCCATTCTTGCGTGTCTTGTTGGGGGTGCCAGGCTCTGAAGATGATCTCAATAAAGATCGAAACGTTGGCACGATAAAGAAAATGTTTTTCTGAAACCTACATCACACCAGACCGCATCTCACGATTTCTGAATAATTATTTTATTGTATGTTCGCGAAAATCTAAATTCCTCTCTCTGAAATGTTGGAAGGGTTTTAAGTTTTTAAAAAATTAAAATTAGCGTCGAGAGGACTTCGGGACTCTAATTATGGGCGTCTAACGACCTTGCACAAATGTCGATTTAGGAGGCTGAAAAAAATATTTTTCCATACATCATATGTATGATGAATCCAAGTTCACCTCTAGTGGCATACTAAACAATTGGAATTGTCGACCGTGGGCATAGGGAAATCCGAGATTTTCGTAGCCTTGTCATCATCAGGTTGTTCGAAGTATCATTGTTTAGTGTGGACTTCTCGGATATAAATTAATTAGGCCTTATTTCTACGAAGATAATTTAAATTGTGCTCAGTTCCTTAATTTTTTTGAGGGAGGTTTTACCAGCAGTATTTCAACAGATGATGTTCCTCTGCAAGAACGAGTAAGAATGATTCTCCAGCTGGATGGAAGCCCCGCACACAATTCTTTGCAGGTGAGACGTTATTTGAGTCGTCACTTCCGGGATAGGAATCTATCCTCTTCGGTCACCCGATTTAAATCCACTTGACTATTTTCTGTGGGGTCATTTAAAAAAACAACATCATAACTCATCTGCCTCAGTTGAATAACTGCGGCAAAGGATAGAAAATGCTTGTCAATCCAACTCCCCCCACTCTATCGCTCTGAGCACGAGTGAAGAGTGGTTAAAAAAATCTTTGTGTCTTTACGCAAGGCAGCCAGTTCGAACATGAAATGTGGTTAATAAATAGCAAACCAAATTACTGTGTTTTTTAAACTTTTTGCCATAACTTTGTCACTTTTGGCCAATTTGAATTGCAGCTTGCACCATTTGCAGCTTAAAAAATCCTTTAAAATGAAGTGTCTGGATGTATAGGGTCATATTTGAAATTTTGAAGGTGAACTGATTTGATGGATGGGTGTGTACCCAGTGGTACCCTGCATATTTTTTCTCCAGTTTCAAACTACACTAAAAACATTAAACAGGTTTTTTAATAGCATCATTGGCTCAAAAGAAATTCAGACCGGCCATCTAAAAAGGACAGATATATTTAAAACGCAACAAACTATATTTTATTGTAGTTTCGGTAAACCCAGTGAGTTTGCAAAATCTGTGCAGTTAGGGGCAGCAAGTAGCACATGGTGGAGTACCAACCCTGCCATCCACATTAGCACTTGATAGGAAATAAGCTAGTGTCGAGTAGCACTCTTGGATCACAAATATTTTGTACTTAACACAACTAATTTGATTAGCACAATTTGCGATAATGTTATTCTTTATAATATAATGGAATTCTTTGACACTATAGACTCATTTGTTCTGAATATATATTAAAAATCGAAAAAATATCAAATATTGTTAAAATTAATTTTTATCATTTCATGTATTCACAAAAGAATTAACTGATTCGTAACTTTATTAATTGAAATTGCTCTAAGTTTGCAAACTATTTCAGGAATACCGATAAGTTTGTACACTGGCCTTGTGAAGTCCCTCACTCCGTTTATCCTACCATAACTTGGCTCGCGTATAATCTATTTAAGCTCGTAAACTCTTGTGGATTCACATTAAATAAAGCGTAAACGGAAAGACCGCGGGGTCGAATTTTGACGTAGGTGAAAACTAAGGACAAGGATTTTTGCTTTTTGAAAAATGGAAAAGGTACACATTTCTGAAAGGGGCACTCGTGAACACCTTTTTCACCTTTTTAAAAACCCCGGTGGAGACAATTTAGCAAGGGTAACCACCTCTAACGATCAACTGGCCAGGCTCATTATCGTCCAGACTTTTAATTTTATTTAAGCGGACGTTGTAACCAAGTAACATTACACGTTACTAATTAGATCACAATGCGGCATAGGGGTCTTTTTTGTACTCTGGACATTTTACAATTTACAAAAGAAAAATATCACCCTAATCCTTTAATCCGGGGTTAATGCGATTACTGCAGGATTAATTATTTGCATGGTCAATATTGTAATTTAATATATACCCTCAACTTTAAATAAACTTAACTTTATCCAGTTAAACAATGGGCAGACATACTCTTTTAAATGCTGACCCTAAAGTTTAAACCTCATGGGAGTTCAGTTAAACCGTTATGCGGGGTGGGTCGCTAGTATCTAACCAGAGCCAAGAGATGGCTGCTTTCCAGTCGGAGGGGACTACGGACTGCTAGGTCATTTCAGCCCCGCAACGCATGCAAAATGTAATCTATCTTAAAACTAGCTAACTTCTATAATACAGTCGCACAAATAAATACATTTTCACTTATATATGTGGCATTCATTTTGAATGGTCGGTAGAGTACTCGATATGCCTCTATAGACTTACCCACAATAGTAACAAGATAATCTAAATTACGGAAGATGGAGTACTTTTATAAATATTCTATAATCTGCCCTAAATATACACACTACTGGAGGGGCGATGGTAATGCTATATTTCACCATTACCTCTCTCCATAAATACACTCATTTAAACAAAACACATAACCACAAAACGCATACAACAGATCTATGTATTTACAAAAAAATTCACGTCTTCCGGAAAGCTGAACCCCGAAACTCGCTACTGTGCCTGAGAACAATTCTTAAATTTGGCAGTACGCCTACACTCTCCATGTAAAGACCCAAGACATGACAAGCTTCTATTAGTTCGGATTCATCAACCAACTTGTCTCGCCAGTGTGCTTATTGCGTAATTTTTTTCATATCGATTTATTTTACTGTTTTTATATGTTGCCACTTAACAAACTGGTGGAAGCCAAACCACATTAAACATTAATGCCCATTTCATGGATAGATTTCCGTTTATACAAAATACAATATTATACAAAAGATAAATCGTTGGGAAATTTAAGTACAGTATTAAGAAATACACTTTACAACAATAAAACCATTTATATGTATAAACCATTTAATATGTCATAGGCTTTAATTTTACATTCGTTTCATTTACAATACAACCATTCGATTTAGAAAATCAATCAATGATTAAACATTTTTGATGTCAGTCACGAACTATTTCAATGAATCGAATAAGCAATGAATGGCACGAAAGTATGGATGTTAACAA